TGTTTTGTTTTGCTTTATGCTAAGTCTGGAAAAAAAAGACCGGTAAAATTAATTATTCTTTTACTTTTATGATCATAATGTTGAATGTGTTACTCAAGCAACTTCTTTTAACAAGAAATCTCAAGTTGATAAAATTTAAATAAAACTAGCCACAAAAAACATTGATTTATTTAAGATGGAATGATGTGTCTAAAATTTGTATTTTTTTAGATACATTATTTTCAATTTTTCTAGTTGAATTGTTCATCTACACTGCATATGGTTCATTATTGTATATAATTAGGTTACAATAATTTTTTAATTTTACATGAATACTACCATATCAAAATTGGGATGTAGTAGGGTGGGGGCCCTGTATCATAAATTCGGGGGCGTATTGTGGGGGGGGGCACGAGACACTTGCACTAGCCTTGTGCGTACGTGATGTGAATATCGTGAGATGCCTTTCTAGAATTTGGGAAAGGGATCATAAAGGGCCTTTTGTGGATTTGCTATCCTTATGACTCTTCTTTCAAATAAAAATACGTACCTTCCACCTCCTCCACACTAATTCTCTCTTTCATTCATTGCCCTCTCTAGAGACGTGTGTAAAATAACGTGTTTAGTTTCTGAATGCCAACGTGTATATAAACTTAGCAACCTGATGCTTTTTTTCTTCTTCTCCCCCCCCCTTTCCTGCTTGAGACTTTCTTGAATCTTGAGTGTTTATGTTGGCCTTTTCTTAAAAAGAAAGTACTTCCTTCCTGTGTAATGTGGCTTTGCTACCCTCACTCTTTTACTGGATACCCCCACGACTCACTGGACCTTTGACCCCTGTTAACCCCACTTCTTCCTCTCCTCTCTCTCATACATGTGACTTTATACAAAAATAATGTGTATTATTATTACGTACAGAAACGTGTGTGTATGTGAACTGTGAACCTATGATATATATATTTAAAATTGCGCATATTAATCGGGCACTCGCGATTTTAAACGTTTGTGGTGTTTTATTTATACAAAAAAAAAAAAATTCAACCTATTCCCCCAGAAATATCCAATTTAAAACTACTTTGCTTTCCAGACATTTTTATTTCCATCAAGACCGGGAACGATCGTGGTTTCTTTTTTATTTAATTTTATGAATTGTCTTGATTTTCCAGGGTTGGGGGGAATAGTGCAATGTTTCCGATTTGCCATCTCCAGGGTTTTAAGTTCTGAGTAGTCCTTCTCTTGGCTGCCACTCAAGGCTATTTATTGACTCTAAGTACCATCGAAATGGATCCATGTTTTTTCCTTGAAATGAAAGCAAAAAATCTCTATCCTCTCTCGATTTCGAAAATTACAAAAAAATCAGAATTATCCAAATTAAACGAAAATTTCAGTAATTAATGAATTGTGTACTGAATGTCATTTTATATTAGAAAACTTTGTAGAAATATTGATTTTTTGGGTTTGTTTCACCCCCTTTTTTTCTGATATCTCTGGTGCACATTTTAATTTGGGTGGATAGAAAAAAATATATATATTGGGTGTAACAGTAAAATTGTCCCAATGATGTAACAGCATGTTACAGTTAGTCCATCCCACAAAAATAAAATGTTTAATATCTTAAAAAAACACTAAATTGAGTTTATTTCTTCCAGGTTTTCAGATAAGATGTTTAGCCATCTTGATACCATTTGTATAGAAATGATCAGATTAGAATTGTTTTGTGTCAACTCGATCTTCTCAAATGAGCAATGGTGAGAGGAAAAATCATTCAGGCCTTCAATAATAGTATCAACATTCATACTCTGGCTTCCATCTTCAAAGTCCATTCAAGAACCATCAAGAGAACCAGATCAGGAGGTCACATCAGGAAGAGGGATCATCATTTCAAATTAAAGCTAAAGTGATCAATTAGAAAAGATCCAATTCAACCTATAAGACATTTGACATGTCGAGAGGAGTTTCAGCTATGACAGTCCAAAGAGCAGTGAAAAAAGACTTGAAAATGAAATTGTATATGAAATCTCTGATGCACCTTGTTATTCCAGGAGAGAATGTTAGAAGGTTAGCAAGGGTGAAAATCGTGTAATATATATATATGAGGCATGGTGGAGTAATGGATAGCGGCTTGATTGAGGAATCGGAGAGCCGTTCGAATTTCAGTCAAATCCATTACATTCACTTACGACCTTAATACCCTTGGGAAAGGTGTGAATCCTCTTCTTCTCCTCCAGCTATGGGTAAATAGCAGGACAGACTGGGTTCTATAGCCTTGGATAGCAACTGGTCTAGGAGAAGGACAACTCTGAATTCAAAACCTGCAGAGGGTCATTTGGGGACCTTGTGGCACTTAGTGCACCAGGTCTCTGAATTCGTCCCTTCAAAAAGTGTGGCTGGTCTTGCACAAAACCTTCACCACTATAATCAAATCTCATGTGCTGTTGGTTTCCTGGGAACTGATCTGTTTGACCCTCATACGTCGAATCCAATGGGAGAGTCGACTATATATATATATATATATATATATATATATATATATATATATAATTTGAACTTTATTTCAATCCTTCATGAGCTTCTGATCCTTAGATATGATTAATTAATGATGAGCATGTCATTTTTGTTTATGATCAATTTCATCACAATTCTTTTGTTAAGCTTGGAGAGTAATTATACATTCTTATTGTCCAATAGTGTTAGAAAAACCTTAGATAATTCCAGTAAGATATCTTTAATTATTTCTAAGATACAACAGTTCAAAGCTAATCTAACAGTTGGACAATTTTGCTGTTACACTTGGTATATATATATATATATATATATATATATATAGCATAATGAGAAGCCACATATACTTTCTTGATATGTATATATAGAAAAAACAACTAAAAAGTTGCAAATTAAAAAAATAGTAATGTTTTTTATGAAAGTATTTGTTTTTTGAGATATATATATATATATATATATACTTTACAGTTATATAAAGATCCCAGGTGTTATTTCATTAGAGATTATATGCTATGTCAAGTGTGAAAATTTGTCCTGAACCTTAGCAAAACTAATTCAATAGAACGAAAGAATTTTAAAGTGAATAACAACTACACTGAAATGGCTGTTAACAATCGGAAAAAAATTCAGCTGGAATTTTAGGTGCAGATAATGAGGAAAGAATGCTTGGAAAATCTAACACAGATAATTCATATCTAATGCAGTAGAAAGCAACAAGAGGCACACAAAAAATTTGATCAAATAGATGGAGGCACAAGTACGACAAAGAGGATTCATGAAGAACAAGTACTGCTGAAACAAAACAGGAAACTTTAGAGAGACATGATTGCCTATTTTCTATAGGGACAGTGATGAGTTAGAAGCTATTGTCAAAATAACCCACAGAATTAATAAAGTTCGCAATGAAAATAAAAGGTCAAAAAAGATGAACCAGCAACAATCATGCAAACAAACAAACAATATAGTTGAAGCAAATCAAACGGGTAAGAAAGCAAAAGAATTCACAAAAGATGAGTTAGCATTTGTACCCAAAAGCAAGGTTGGACGAGTGAACGCAGTAAGTCTGTCTAGTAGTTAAGGCAGAACTGAACTGAGGTTATTTACCTTGCTTCCCCACTAGACAGGATGTGGCACAAGGCCGTTTTTTATGCAGGGTGAATCCAAGACCGTAGGCTTGGGCAAAAATTCCTCATAGACCCTGCATATACGGGGTCAGGCTTGTTTACCTCTCCAGAAGTGACTCTGCCCTTTGGCATAGCCTTTTCTGAGTTCCTCTGCCTGAAAGCAGAGTTCAGCAAGTCAGCCTAAACTGCCATTGTCAAAATAACATGGTCAGAATGAATAAAGTTTAAATGAAAAGAAAAAAGGTCAAAAAGGATGAAACAGCAACAAACATTCAAGCAAACAATATAGTTAAAGCAAATCAAACAAAAGACAAAAGAATTCACAAACTGTGAGTTGGTGTTTGCACCCAAAAGCAAGATCGGACAAGCAAATTCAATAGGTCTTTCTAGTAGATAAGACAGATCTGGATAGTCATGTCAAAATGCAAGCCACCCCATTTTATTTGCTAAGAAAAATATCCCAGCATGCATTTTGTGTCCTTCTGACTATAAGATGGCGTAGGGGCAAACTTCTGCAATCATTTCCTGCTTTTAGGGAAATCAACAGACAGACAGACAGACAATGAAAGATTGTCTAATCGTTGAAATAAATAGTTTCTTCATTTGTAAACAAGAATTCTCAACATCCGTTTACATGTGGAAAGGTTATATTGAATCAATTAGTAGGTCTGCTAGGAAAGTTGGTTCCTTATGTTGTGCTAAACAATTTTCTTGTCAGAATTGATTTTACATATTTATAAGTCTACCATTCATTTATGCATTGAATATTGCTGCTGCATCCAGTCTGGTGCTTTTGCTATGTATTTAGAGATTCTTGATAAAATCCAAAGAATCTGCAATGTTACTGGTCCTAACCTAGCATCTCAGCTTCAGTTAATTTCCCACTGACATAATGTGGCTTCCGTCTGCCTTTCCTATAACAACTTTCATGGTAATTGTTGTGGTGAATTTTCTTCTTTGATACCACAGACTTAATGGATTTAAGTGCAGTACTAGATTGCCAGCAAGATCTATCATTTTTACTTTTGATAAGGCTATATATAAGTTCTATGTTAACAGCCTCTTTTCCTGCACTTCTCACTTGTGGAACTCTCTTCTGGCTTCCTCCTTTTCAGTCACCTTTGCATTTAGATTTTTAAAGGTCAATACCAATTGTTGTCTTAATTTCTGTTCTTTTATTGTTCTCTCTTCTCAATGTTTTCTTAGTAATCCCTTGCATCTTAGTGGCTTTGTTGCTTTGCTTGGTGTGAAATGTAACTGGAAAGCAATAGCCTTAGTGCAATTGTTATTGGCATGGGAAATGGAGCCAACAAACTGAGTTCAATTTCTGGCCTCGTCTGCTGAGTTCACTTTTCTTGTCAGGCCCTTTGATAAAAGCATTAGATAATTTCTTTTAGCTATACAACTCCGGTTCCCTTACGATCACCAAAGTTAAGCAACATTGAGCCTGGTCAATACCTAGATGGGTGACTGCTTGGGACTACCAGATGCTGTAAGCTTGGGGCTACCAGATGCTGTAAGCGTGGATGTGCAGGTGGTGTAATGGATAGCATGTCAGAATTGTTAATCAGAGATCCAAGTTCCAATTCCAGTTAGGTTCGTTATATTAACTTATGTGCAAATATTCTTGGAAGGTATGAATCCATATTGTCTTCCCCCAGCTATGGGTTAATTAATAAGACTTGTATCACTAAAATCATTATCTCCACAAAAAATAAAAAATTCCTAAAATTTAAACTATTTTCTGGCTCCAAGGCGATGCATGTACATCTTAAGATGTTGAAGGTAGTGTATGTACATTGTCTCTTGTTTGGCGAAGTGCTGTCACTCAGTTTATTGATCAAGATCCTGTTTTATTAAATGGATTCATACCCTTCCCAAAGGGTATTTACATGTGAGTGAATATAACGAACCCAACTGGAATTGGAATTCAGCTCTCCAATTAAAAATAACTTTGCTGATCATTTAGTGTCCTACCTCAATTTAACAATATTTTATTTGTGATCTAATTCCATTGGTCAAAAAAGATTCCAATATATTTCCTATGTAACGGCACTGCTATTGACCAAATCTGTGCAAAAGGTGGGTCACAGCGTTAAAATCCTACCTTACTATTTCTCTGACTCCTCATTGGTCAATTAATCCTAATATCCTGGTTTCAACTACATCCGAATTGTATCGACCTAGATTCTGACCTGAATGAAAATACAGTTCCGCCAAAAATCTGTCTATTTGTTTCAAGCCGATCACGTGACTTGATAGTAAATAAATACAAGCGACATTTTCAACTTTCTCTTTTTACTCTGTTTTTCTCAGAACCACAACTATGTAGTTCAGTGAGGAGTTTTACGTCTGTCCCTGATGGGAAAACGCTATGACAAGCACGCACACACGAACATTGAACATCTCTTAACTCATCTTACACCAGAATTTCAGCCTATAACTCTTCCTTATTGAAGAACATTCTTTCCATTGAAGCTTACTATTATTTCGTGAGCTGAAATACTTTCAGTGAGTCCTGATAAAAAAAAAAAAAAAAAAAACGTTTCTTCTTTAAAGTCTTAAGCTAATTCAAATAACAGTTGAAGGGAAATAACTCCTGCTGTTTTATCACGATTCTTACTACATAAAAATCACACACTTGATTGCTTTTGTATTTCATACAGTTAAATGAAGATTGTTGTTATAGAAATAGTTTTTGTGTTGAAATAGTTTTCTCTTGTTTGCTTACACATTTGTAAAGTAAAAAATGTACAAGTTGAATTGAGGCCGTCAATACTGCTACAATCATATGGGAACTGGTGTTACAGCATGATATGGCCATAAGCCAAGTAATTCCTATTGAAACTACAGCATCACTATCTCAAAACATGAGACTGTGGCCCTATACAGAGGAGTTTATAAGTTCAACCAATTGATCAGAAAATGGACATGTATGGCAATAGATCGAGTATCAACCACTCTCGGTAACAACAAATATAGCTTATAAAAGATTAAATTGCTTGGATTCTACAGCTTTGAGTATTTGACTGGTTTTATTTTCAGTGGCTGATAGTTGCCATGAAAAATATCAAAGCATCTGGACCAATAACAAGCAATGGCTTATCTTTATGTAACAGCATTTAAAGATAGGGATATTTTTTTCTCTTTTTGAAGTCTACAGTGATGTTAGGTTCACAGAAGCCAGTTAACTTCCTGTTCATTTAATACAGATTAAATGTCATGAGGATTTTTCAAAATGCAAAGTACACTTAACAGTTTTATTTAAACTCTGAATAACGGCTATAAAGCTGTTTAATAATAAGGAAAATAGAATTTTAAATGCTCAATTAAGACTAATTGCAACCAAAGGACAAATTTAGAACTTCCATCTAAAATAAAGCTTTTCAATGATATTGAATTGCAGTATTGATACTACTAATGTAAATAAAACAATTGAAATGAAGATGAAAGAAATATTAATGAAAAATGAATGAGAATTGACAAGGCTTCATCAAACAATAATAATAAAATTCAAGATAATATTACTACTAATACTACTAGTAGAAATAAAGCAATTGAAATGAAGATGAAAGAAATACAAATGAAAAATGAATAAGGATTGATAAGGCTTCATCTAATAACAATACAATTTCAGATAATAACAAGTGAAATGAAGATGAAAGAATTGTCAAAAATGGAAGGGTTGACATTTTATTAAGAAAAGTCACCAAATTAGTAGTGTTTCTGTTTTTCATTTTGGTCTTTTCATTCCATGTAATATTAAACAAGGAAAGTCTGTCTGAAGCCAGAACTAACAGTGCAGTTCTGTTTCAATATTACCATTTAAATATGTTTTCCTACAATTGTTTCTTTATAATCTAGCACTCAGTGGCCTGTCAATCTTTGTGCTGGGGTACATTTGAGACTGCTACTTTTAGTTTAATTGATTTCATTTTAAATGGTAATTTGAAATATAATTCATTGTTTTCTGTTTTCCATCTCTTTTGGTTTACATGGCATCTGTATTTTTTCTTTTTTGTTTAATTTTGTGTGTTTTTTGTGTCTAACGTATTTAAATGTACAAGTATTTGTGTGTCTGATATATTGTGTGTGTGTGCGTTTTACAAGTTTGTGACTTGAAGGAATAATTCCGAGGAGAATATAAATCCAGGGAGAACTCAACATAGATTACAAAGCATTATAATGATAATAAAAAGATGGAGACTTTAATTATCCATTTTGTTTATAATTTTTATTTCATGAACACTGAGATGTTCAGCTCATCAGAATGAAACCTCTGGAAATCCTGATGAGCTGAACACCTCAGTCAGTGATCACGAAAAAAAAATTATAAACAAAATGGATAATTAAAGTCTCCGTCTTCTTATCACATATATATATATATATATATATATATGATGGACTCTCCCGTCGTTTTCGACTTATGAGTGTCTTTCAGTTCAGTTTTTATGCTTATGTTTCATGAGACCACAATCCTGCACTGGATTTGGAAACCAATCCACACAAAGGGCATACTGAAGGGTTGACCATCATATGGGCTGATATATTGGCCTGAGATTTAGTGTTGGTTCTTAATTTTCTCGGATGGTTAAGACGATTCTTTTCAAAGTTAGTTATACCTCAGTGGCAGGTGTTTCTCCAGTTTGCTCGGTTTTCAACAGCAAGTTCGAACTCCTCTACAGGGATGTTTGCAGCATTTGAATTGTATTTAAGTTTGTCCTTGAAGCGTAACCAAGGACGGCCTACATTACACTTACCATGAAAAAGTTGGCTATATTTGGTTGGATAGATGTGAGTTTGTGACCCTGGGTTTCACGCTTTAGCGATCATCAGACAAACTCACACACTTTTCAAACACACATATATATATGAAATGTGTGAATAAAAAGAGATGAGGAAAAATCCTCTGATTGACTTTATCAAGGCAATGTAGGATTTTGTTGCACATGTTCATATACAAGAGCTAGGATCTCATTGGTTTATGAAGGCTTAAATTTTGAAGATGTACAGTACATCTCATACCATCAGAATTTAAACAGTGTTCATTACTTGCTTGCTTTTTGCCAGACTTTGAATTATGACACTTTGTGTCCTCCATATGTTTTGACTGACTTTCAGCTACCTGATGAATATTTATAAATTTAAAACCTTGATAAACCAATCACATCCTTGCTTTTGTATATAAACACATGCAACAAAATAAATCCTACATTGCCTTGATAAAGTCCCTCAGAGGATAAAACACATTGGTTAAGAATAGCTTTCCTCTTATCTCTTTTTATTCATTTTGTTCCTCTACAGATATACTCTATCTGAAAAAAAAAATATATATTTAGGCAGCATATCTTCATGCAAACATGGTTCATTGAATTATATAAACATATTGTGTTTACTTATTTTCATACCTAATCATTTTCTAATGTTTAGACAAAATTCATCAAGGAAGGTGCCATAGTTGTTTTTTTTTTTTTTTTATTTTAACCCAAGTACTTCCACCTTTTCCATAATCATCTTCAAGGGTAAATTACAAAGAAAAATATGCTGTATTGTAACAGCAATAAAATTTGCATTCTGTTGTCATTGTTATTTTTATAAAAGCATGTGTGAATCCAATGGTTAGAGATAAGTTACTTTAGAATTTTAAAATTTATCAATTGTAGTTATGGATTTTTTTTTTTTTTTTTACAAAGTAAATGTTTTAATATAAGGGAGCTGGCTGGGAATTGGTAGAAATGTAAAATGGCGTTGGTATATAAACGTTATATGCACTTTAATATGTTGTTACTACATTTGTAATAAATTTTGTTGAATGTTGGTTGATTTTGTTCTTCGCTGCAAGCACAGCTGTAAGTTTCATGCATGATGTAATCGTCTGGTGCAGATTGAAAAAATCAATTGTGCTACCAGTGAAGAACAAAATGTATATTTATTAATCATTAGTATGTATGTATTTTAGCTCTATTATTGACCGCTGTTTTATTACCACTAGTATTCACCGTGCAATACTTATATATATATATATAACAGATTTCTGTTACTGCCACACCAAGACAAGATAACTTTAAGGAAAAGGATCATAATTATAAAAATAGATACAAAAGTATCTCATTTAAGAAATAAGATTTTAGTCACCTTTCGGCCGACACGTCCTCAAAAACAAAATTGTCAGCAATATAAAACAGATACTGATAAGAAAAATTATCAAATAGTCATATAAACGGGGAAAGAGAGAAAAAAATTATTACTAAATATATTACCAGTCAGGCAGTAGTTTTCCTGAATAGGGCCAACCTATATTTCATTTCCCATTGTCTATACAGCGCAGGACATTACATATTAATAATAATAGACTCCAAGATGTCTAAGTGGAGTCTCGTCCTGGCTCTGTGTATGACAGAAAAAGTCAGGAGAATAGTTTGTCCTGCAATCAACAGAATTTAATAGGTGTTCACCTATCGCAGACATATGTGTTTGCAAACACCCAGATGTAATAA